CCATACACTGGTGCTCCGATCCGCCAGTCTCACTGCGCAGGCGCGAGATTCGGCGGGACGGGGGCGGGGCCCTAAGCGCAGGCGCCGTGGGCAGCACTACGGAGGTGGCGAATTAGGCGTCTTCCAGCCCCCCACTCCTCTACCAAGTCGGCCCCGGTGATCCTGGCGTTCTGCCCCGACTCCCACTCCCCAATCTCGCAAATTCCGGTGGCTGTAACAGTTTATTGGCAGCCCAGAGGGGCGAAGGCACCGCGGGGGAGGGAGCTCGGCCCGAGACATGCAGAGGAGGGGGAACCCCGGGGGGATTCGGGGTCGGGTGGGCAGGGGCTGGGGCTGGTCTGTTATATCCCAGCCCTTTAATAAATAATATATACAGCGAGGGGGCCGGGCGGGGCGGAGGGACGTGGGGTCTCGCCGGAGTCACAGGTCTGAGCAGCGATCCTGCTTGCTGTAATGGTCGAACTGGTTCTTCCAGTGCACCATGTAGGAGCTCCAGAGGTGGAACTCGGCCTTCCACTGGCGCTCTGCTTCGTCCAGCGTGTCTGCGGCCAGGGCACCCGGCAAGTGGTGGGAGGACGACAACATCGAGAAGATTGGGGAACGGACATGGAGGAGGGGCGTGAGCGCAGGGCGGGGGGGGGGGACACACGGGGAATGTAGGAGGCCACGTGGGATGGTGGAAAGAGGATCAGGAGAATCAGGAAAGACAGTAGAGGGAGGATGAAGGTGGAGGCGGGGCCAGAGGAATATGGTAGAAAGGAGAGGAGGAGGAAACGACCAGAAGACCGGAGGGACACACAGGATCAGAGTGGGGAGGATCCACGGGTTGGTGGGGAAGAGAGGAGAGACAGAAATGGTTGACGGTTATAGCCCCGCTGGAGGGGGTGGGGGTGTTATCCAACCCCGGGTCTTCCCTCTGCCCCCAACATCAGGCTCAAGCTCCAAAGGATAATTATATATATATATGACTTTTTCATTTCCACGTAAACAAAGGCGTGTGTGTGGGTCCCTGAGACTTTCCAGTTTGTGTCTCTCGGTTTGAGGAGTGAGGGGGCGCTGGGTCCCTGAGAAGGGCCTTTCCCCGCGGTCCGACCATGCATAAGAGGAGGGGCCCCCCATGGCCGGAGGGGGAAGAGGCCTTGGTCACAGCCGCTGAAGCCGGGAGAGGTGGAGGAGGAGGAGGAGGAGGAGGAGGGACAGGGAGAGGCCGGGCCTGGGCCTCGGGGCAGCCTCCCCATGGGCGGGGCCTGGGCAGGTGCAGGGAGCCTCCGAGGCTGGGGGGAGAAGAAAGGGGTTATACCCAGCCGGCTCCCACTCCCTTCTCTTTGCGACCCCTTTCTCTCCCCTGTTCCCAGCCCCTGCCCACTGGCCCCCGCGTACCAGTGGCGCTGAGCAATTTGGGTAGAAATCGGTTCCAGAAGGCGCAGGCCTGGGCGCGCAGCCCCCGCCGCACCTCCAGCGGCCGCAGATTGAGGCTCACGTACTGCTGCGCACCTGCAGTGTATGGTGGCCACTGCGGGCCCTTGGTGTTGCGCGGGTCATTGGGGTCCCTGCGGAAGGAAAGGGAAGACTCAGTCCCATTCAGGCTTGTGGCTCCCAGATGAGGAACGAAGATGGGGACGGGGTGGGGGGTGCGGGAAGCATTCCCTTACTGACTCTGGGCTCTCTTTAACCTCTTGGGGGCCACCATTCGTCCCTTCCACCCCAGCTCCAACCCTTTCTTTTCCTTCTCCAGTGTCCCCCGTCATTTAGGAGTCTACCCTTTCTTCCTGCATTTCGTCTCTTTTGTACCTTTCCCTCAGTTTTTCTGCTCTTTGTCTTTTCCCATTAAAAAAAAAAAATGCTAGGATTTATTGAGCTCTTATTGTGTAACCAGATGCTGTCCTGTCTCTACAAACATGGCACCTTGGCTTTGATGCCAGATTTGTTGCCCTCTTCTTAAGACAAACTGGTGTTTGTGCCCGCATGACGTGTGTGAGTGTATGTGTGTGTGAAAGAGAGGGAGAGGGAGAAAATCATTGTTGGTCCAATTTACATTACACTACATACCACTCCTAACTCCTTTGTCTTGGCCGTGATCATCTACCTCTTGTCTTCCTCTGAAGGAGGCCCTGCCTTCTCTAGGTCTTCTTTGTCTTCTCCACTCTTCCCCTTTGTCTCATTTCCTTTGTGAAAGTTTGCTCTCCTCTCCTGCCTTTCCTCTATGTGCTCCCTCTGTTCCCCTAACCCCCAGAGACCCTCCCTTTCCCAGTGCTGCTGACCCTGTGCGGGCAAAGTTGGTCCAGTATCTCATCAACCGCTGGGCAAAGATTCTTTCCTGGACAGTGTAGTTCAGTGAGGGGTCCAGGGGAAGCCCAAAGATGAACTCAATCTCGTAGCCATGGGGCACCCCCATCCAGAGGGGCCAGGAGAGCGTGGAGGCACGGTGTTCAAAGATGTAGGCATAGACTCGGGCCCCCTGGGCTGCCAGTCGCCCAGCTAGCTGAGCCGCAGGGCACACGACATTGTGGTCACCCACCACCGCACTCATGGCTTCCCTCAGGCGCTCCGGGTCCTCAGGGTGTAGCCAGTCTGTGTAATGCAGGACCACAGCCTCGGCCGCCAGGTCACTCACCTGGGGGACCCCGACCCGCACCCCAGCCAGGAACTGGGCCCGACTGATGAGAGATTCGTTGTCTTTGCTGAAGCCTGGGGCCCCATAAACCAGAAAATAGGAGCCCTCATCCTTCACCACACCCACCAGCACCTGGGGGTGGAGGACAGGATGGAGGGAAGGGGCACAGACAGACAGGTGGAAAGAAACAGACAAACAAAGAGCCAGAGAGATGAACAGTTATAGACCCAGAACCACGGAGGAAGAGTGAGATTGGGGAAGGGACTGAGAAAAAAAGGAAATGCACCCACAGTTCCTGTCCTCTCCACCCTGCTGCCCACCCTTGGATCTGAGCCCTCAGGGGGAGGGGATGGCCACGGGCCTGGAAGCCTGGACCTCTGAGAGTGGGTCTGGAGGAGCCCACATCCCCAGCTCCCTGGGGGGCAGGGCAGGGGCAGGGTGGGTGAGACCCAGAGGAACCCAGTCCACCCCTGACAGCCACTAGTCACCTGCAGGCCGTGGAAATCTCCAGCATTGATGAGGGCCTCAGGTGTGTCACTGAGGAAGTCTCCGTCCACCACAGGCACGAAGGAAAAGCGGAAGATACTTTCCTGAGGCAGCACTTGCCACTCGTGGTCTACCAGGTCTTGAGCTGGCCGTGTCCGCAGGCAGGCTACTAGCTCTGTGTCATTGCCACCAGAACCCCCCGGGGGACAGCCAACGAGGCGGGCCAGCAGTGTGGCCCTGCGGCGGGCCTCCCCCATGCCCACAGTGGCCCAGGGTCCATTGGGTGCACCGCTCTGCAGCACAGCCCTATGGAAGAGGCTCCTGCTGGGTGGGGACAGCAGGTGCATGCCCACTGAGGCGGCGCCTGCACTCTCCCCAAACAGAGTCACCGACGTTGGGTCACCCCCAAAGGCTGCCACATTCTCTTGCACCCACTGCAGTGCTAGCCTCTGATCCAGCAGACCCACATTGCCTGGGGCCTCTCGGCTCCCTGGCAGAGCTAAGAAGCCAAAGGCTCCCACTCGGTAGTTCATGGACACCAGCACAGTCCCCTCAACCTGTGCCAGAAAGCGGCCATCATACACGTCCAAGGAGGAAGCCCCACTGTAGAAGCCACCACCATAGATCCAGACAAGGACAGGGGTGGGGGATGCAGGCCGGGGGTATGGTGTCCACACGTTGAGGTAGAGGCAGTCCTCGCTTAGCTCACGGTTGGGGTTCCACATTTCGGAGCCCTCAAATCCAGGGTACAGGGTGTCCACATATTGGTAGCAGACACTCTGGAAGGTCGTAGCGTCCAGCACCCCTGTCCAGGGCCTCTTGGGCTCCGGTGGTAGAAAGCGGCGGGGCCCCACAGGTGGCTCGGCAAAGGGGATGCCCAGGAAAGCAGAGACGGGGCCCCCAGGGGCCTTTAGGCGGATGCCCCGCAGCCGACCCCCACGGACAGTTACCAGCAGTTCTGGGTCCTCTCGGCCCTCAGCCCCGGCCCCTCCTCCCAGGAGAGAGAGGAGGAGGAAAAGGAGTGGGGAAGCTAGGGAGGGCGTGTGCAGGGGACACCACGGGGGCCTCATGGCTGCCAGGGCAGGCGGTCGTCTGCTGGGAGAAAGAAAGGCAAAGGGTAAAGGCTGCAGGCCGCCAGGAGGGAGGAGATTAGGTAACAATCTTGCCCAAGGATTATCTCTTTGCTGCAGAGGAGGTGGGGCAGGTTGGCAAGAGGAGGAGAAAAATAAAGGGAGGGAAGAAGACAGGCAGAGACAAGGACATAGACAGGCAAGAGGGGACAGAGCAGGCAGACACACACACCCAGACAAATGCAGGTAACAGAGAGAAGATCTGCCAATGCATACCCTCCAGGGCCCCGTGGGGCCCACCGCCCTCACCTTCCTCTGGCTCTGTGGCTTGGGCTGGGCAGGGTGCTTGCAACGCGGGCACCAGAGGCCGCAGTCCACGCACAGGCCACAGGACAGGGGCGGGGCCCTCACTGACGGGCGGTTCCAGCTGGGGGAACTTGCGCGGCCTAAAGGCACAGCCCTAGTTTCTCCTGGGTTGGCCAGCGCTCTTGGCCCTAGGGGAAGTGGTTTGGACATTCAAGGTGTGGGAGCTCCAGATCCTGGAGCACCCCAAATCCTGCCTACTCCACATCCTGCCCTACCCTGCCTCGCCCCATCTGCTGTCTGGCATCGCGCGCTGGTACCCGTCGGTTCCCATCAGCAAAACCCCGCCTTGCCTACTCCCAGCGAACAGGCTCATAGGCCCTGGACCCCAGGATGCGAGACCCTATCCGTCCGGCGTTGCAGTACACGCTGTTGCCGGCAGGGGGCAGGAGAGACCGAGAAGAGGACTGCGCTCTCCGCCCCGAGCCCGGGAGCCGGGAACTTGGGGTGGGGGCCTGGGAGCTCGCGGGTATCACACAGGGGCCTGAAGGGCGAGCCGGGACGCCTGTGTTCCCGGAGCTCCGGAGATCCCCGGCCGCAAGGGCGGGGGCGCTATTTTGGGGTAGCAGCTGCTGCGATTCCGGCATCTCCAGCCAAGGGATCAAAATTCCCCGGGTCGGAACTCCCCCCTCTTCGGCGGTCACCCCTCATCCAGCCCTGTCTCCCTGAGCTGGGGGTTGGTGGTGGTGTTGGAGATTAACTAGGAAACCCGAGTGGGGCTAATTATAACTCGGGGCTTCCGCTGAGCGTCCCCTTCCCCCAAAATAGAGACGGAGTCTCCGCGGGAGGGGGTCCCAGGCCTCGGAGGGGGCCTGGGCTGGGCTCTGCGCAGGGATTCTGGGGTCGCTCCACTCTGGGTATAGGGGCATCCAGGAGGGCGCCAGGAACCTGCGCAGTTTGGGGTCCGCCCCAAACAGGGGGCATCTTCTAGTGGTCTCAGACTTGGGGCTAGCGGGGAAGGGGCGCTCGGGGGTCCCACAGGAATTCTAACCTCTGGAGAGGCAGCGGATGGCCCAGAGGGCTTCGGTAAGTGTGCGGCGGCGAGGGAAGAGTTACCCAGGAGTGCGGGGCGGCGGGGGACGCCGCTGGGCAGGCCCGGGGGCGCGG